CTTGGGCAGAGCCCAGGCTTTGGAGTCATGTTTTTTTGACCACCACGATAAAAAGCAACTTACAATATAACTTAAGAAAGAGAAACACAGTGCTATTTTATTTAGCTGATAATGCTGGTCAAATGTTCTCTCTGCCTGGATGCTTGCTTATTTCAAAAGAGCACTAAGGAAAAATGCAGCATGAACTAGGAGGGTGAAAAACTTCTATTTTGTAAACAAATCACGGTGTGGCTGACTGAAAATCACCTGCAAATGCAACTAGTTCTACTCCAACTGGGAATTCGCCAAGAAAGTATTTTTCCTACTAAAATACACCAATTTTACAGCTACCTTGCAGAAGTAGTACTGTCTCTAAAGATTAAGCAAGAGGGAAGACATTTAAAAAAAAAAAAAAAAAAAAAAAAAAAAGCAAGAGGGAAGACATTTAAAAAAAAAAAAAAAAAGATACAAACCCAGCTGGGCCTGTGACACTAGCCCACACGTTTGTGCACGCACAGTCATCCTCGCTTTTACAGAGGGAGGAAGCCTGGTCCCACGTGGACCTGTACGTGGCCCTGCTGATCCTCCCCGACCCACCACAATAACCCCAGCTCTCCCACCCAGCAAAGGGAACCGCTCCAGCTCTCCCGGAGCTCCGCGCATGCTGGCTGGCCAGATGCCTCCTACACAATGTAAGAAATCTGTCCTGCCTGTTCTTCCCTTTAATAGATGCACTAAACACGTCCCTCTCCTTCAACTTCCTTTGAGTTTGGGGAACATTACCGGCTAGATAATGTTCAGGACCTTTCTCCCTACAGCAACACTGGTTACATCAGACAAGTGATTTAAAAGCTGCTTGGAGAAGAAGAAAAGAAGAAGCCTGACCGTGCATCGGCATAAACTTTGTTTCCTGAAAAGGGGAAAGGAGACGGAAAGGGATATATAAGAAAATAAGACAAAAACACGCAGGCACAATTCTCCAGATGCTCACTGCCATAGCAAGTGGAAGTGACAGACAGCAGGCACACAGAGTTATACCAGAATTTTATTTTATTACTGCAAACTGAAAGTTTAATACTTTTACATGAATGCGTAATTCATTCCTCAGCATATCAGAAAAACAGAAGATTTGCAAACATTGTCTCATATTAAGACCCCAGAGTTAACGTGAGCTGCAACCTCTGCATTACGTTTGGCATCTCAGGAGGAACAGCCTCAAGACTTCCTACAGGGAACAGCCAACACCACAAATTCGACTCCATTCTGAGTCAAATGAGTTTGAATATCCAGCATGTAGCGTCAGTCCTATTATTTTAGCTTCAAATAAGTGCTTACTCCGTAGAATCAGACTTTTCATCTGGTTTACAAATCTTTAAAAATCCTTTTATTGCTTAAAGCACACCTGTCTGTATCCAGAACCGCAGCTTTGGCATCTTTTCTCCCGGAGCAGCTCATTAACATCATACCATGGAAACAGAGCCTCGTCCCTCCTGCATTGAGATCATCTGTGCCACACCTTACCAGCAGACTCTTCTAAATTCACTATGGGCGGACTCGCTTTAAATACAAGAGACATGATATCACCATGGCATGCACGTGGCCTTCTTCAATTACCTTCATAACACAAAACTTTTGCTTCTCTTCTTTATGTCTGTGCCACTGGCAATTTGTTCCACCTTTGTCCATTCTGCGCCCTCTGTGATCCCTCTTTCACCGCAGTTCATGACCTTTTGTGTATAGGATGAACAAAGGGCAAAGGCTAAAAATGTCATCACAGTTGGGCCTCCGCTGTTCTACCGACTTAACGAGTTTGCTACTAAAAACAAGCTCAAGCTCAAAGTCAGACCGAGACAGAGTTTCTGGGTCACTGGAGTCCAGGAATCCCCAGAAGATGGTTCAGAAGCAACGTGGAAGAGGATGCAAGTGCTCCCTTTCATCCAAATTCAAATCATGAATCTGTAGTGGTGCCTGCGTACCACCTACATGGTACTTAGTAGTCATTTGCATTGTATGAAAGAGCAATAGAAAAAAGAACATCAGGCTAGCCTACTCTTGGCAGGGGTGGGAGGGGAAGGAGGGAGACAGAAAAACACCATCAGCTGCGGCTGGCTGAGCTGTGTGTATTTACGTTTCACAAGCTAAACTATTTAGTGGTTTATTTACACACAGTGTTCTTGGAGCAGCTAAAATGCCAGTTGTGTTTTATCTTGGTTTTGTGGCAATGCACATAAGCCACAAAATCATAGGAAGAGCCTGCAAATGAGATATGAGCCTCATCATCTAGAAAAGCACGTAAGCCACTGTGAGAAGGGAGAAAGATTTTGGAAGCACAGGCACAACAAGGGTTGAAATGCATTCGTTCTGACGAGACACCAAAATACAACCCAGGGACTCAAAAGCAACAATCAAGTCACGATACAACAGTTTATGCTGCAGGGATCGCACATCCCAGCGTAGCTCTCATAGCCAAGTCAACCTACAGCAAGGCATACCGGGGCCTCAGGTCTCTCTGGGCTGCCCCTCCATGTTAGAGCGAGGAGGGAATTGCAGTCAGCTCCATTTTATGCACATTCGATGGCAAGACGCCAACACAACTGTTGACTGAGCCAAATCTGGGCCCCCTTGAACTAAACCATCACCTAAAGCCTGGCGGAAAACCACATGCCTCTCGCATCTAGAGCGGCCAAGTTCCTGAAAAGCATCCGAGTTACAAGACAGATTTTTTTTTCTTCTTTCTTTACTGAGAAGACGACTGATGTTTTAACTCTTTGATGTACACTCATTAATTCAAAACTGAACGGTTGCTATGCAATGTAGCTTGATGTTAATGAGATACGGAGAATTAGGCGACTTCTTTCTAGCAAGTCAAATTATTTACTAGATGGCCTACACGGCAGTCAGGCCAGCATCCGATCTGGAGGGCAGCTATCATCACACTCTGCATCTTGTTAGCATTCTCAGCCAAGGTGTCAATGGCTGCTTTCCAACTGGAACCTTACTCTGACAAAAGAGAATGCAGTACAAGCTAGGGAAAGCTTTTTGATCAGCCCAGTTCACTTCTTCCCTCCGAACCAGTGCTTGGCAGTAAGCTGCCAGCAAGCTCGGGAACTGCACGGAGAGCGTTATCACTCCGGGAATTCACCCTCCCGAGCAGGAGCTGCTCCTGGACCGTTCCTCTGCCACACAGCAGAGAAATCCCTCTGCTGACTTCTGCTTTAATTATATTTTAAAAAATTCAGCTTCTAGTCTGTGTTCCATTATAGTAATAGCAATAATTAAAAATACTTCAAACGACGAGTCCTCTAAACCTGCTGTTCCATCCAGGCTTTTTGGCATCACACACTTCCTTTCTTGACTGACATCCTCAGGGAACCAGATTGATGGTTATTCTATTCTATTCCTGTTGCAGGGCTGTACTGCACTCTCTCAGCACATGTAAACTGCTAGGTAATATTTGTGTTGGCAACTAACCTACATACTTTATAGAAACAGACCTCTATTTGACCCTCCATGCAGCTCCCACACACAATTTGGTCCACTCCTTTAAACTGCTTCCTTCTGCTGCAAGACATACCCCGTTCCATAGCTCTGTTTCTAGCCTGTTTAAAAGGTATAGCTCCAAAAAAGAGATTATGTGCTTAAAGAGAGCAACTTGGCTACAAAAGCCAAGCCTGCAGAATGTCCTTACACAAGAATATCAAAGAAAATTAATATAAAACTTGCATATACAGGTCCTGGTTTTCCTTCTACAAAGATTGCTCCAACTGAACATTTCTATGAAAAAAACTATGAAAAGTTCTGTGAAAAAACAAAAAAAAGACATCAACACACAGATTTCTGTGGTAAGACACCGATAGCTGGATCATGATTTTTTTGTTTAAAATACAGTTAAATGTTAGCTATTTAGGCAGTAACATCACCTCAGAATACTTTCACACCAGAAGTCTTCCTTCCTTGCCCAAAGCACACCACGCAGAATACAAGATAAGCCAACAAAGTAACGCATCCAGATGATCAAATGAATTCCCGTTATCCATTTACACCACAGCAGTTTATCAACAACTCCATTTAAAGCCAAACAGAATAAAAGCGATGCAAAAAGAGGCGAGATCTGGCTGGCAGGCGCCCGGGCGAGCGCAGCTGCAGTGCGAGCGGGGACTGTGCCGTCGCATCATGTGACAGAACGGCGCTGGCAGCAGAGGAGGGAGAGCTGCAGCCCCCGGCCTCCCACCTTCGGCAAGTCGTGCCTTCCTGCAACGTTACGGACAACGCAATTTAATTTCCATGCAGAACCGACTCAGGTTATAAGCTCCTCAACGTTTTGAATTGTTATTCACTGGTTTTATTACCTCCCTCCACCAAATAAAACCGTAACACAGAAATGAATAACAATACAGGCAAGCTATGTATTCCTCCCACTGCTAAGCACTTTCGGCATTTTATCACTTGTAGATCTAGTTTCTCAACCGAGCATGGTGAACACAGAACACGGTGCTGTTGTCTGTATCATTCTTGCACGTAGAGCTTAGCCCAACTAGTCATCTTTGTGATAAAATCTTCCAACGTTTGTAAGGGACATGGATTGCCAATGGAATCTTGATGCTGTATTGTACCTATATTTCAAGATAAAACAATGATCATAATCTCCATTGTAGTACAGCAAAATATTTCTTCTCTCCATATAGCTTCTATGAATGGTTTTTATATTTTCTGCAGCAAAGAACCTGGCTATCACATTTGGGTATGCTATCTGTACTATTTTGGCAGCCCAAAATGACTGGAGAAATTACGCTCTTTGCTCCTCGTTAAGTGACTCGTTGTGTCTTTCATTTAACATAAATTGCGATCCAGTTTATCAAAACATCTTTTAAGAGACTGACTTTTCTGATTTGAAAACAAAGCACCTTCTTCTCTAAGAGCATGACTTACAGTCAGGTGTCATCCTTTTTAATGGCTCCCTCGACAGTCTGAGCAAGGGAAGTTACAACTGTTACACAAGAAGGTTCACACGAGGCGAGAAGATGCACCGGGCAGTACCCGCATCCCCAAACTTCCACAGCAAGATCCGTACCAGGATGATCTTCTATGATTTCCGAAGGCTGCTACCAACACCGAGGTTCTGTTTCTCGCAGGAATGGCGGGAGAGCATACGCATGCTGAGAGACTCACGCTAGCATTTTAGTCATCATATGGTCCAACAGTGCTGCTTTGCATTAGCTTAGACAAGATGCTGAGAATTATGGATTGCATTTGGACAGCTCTTACAAAAACTAGCTATTTTTTATATTAAGGGATCCATTTTGCAGGTTGGAGGACTAGAATTGCTTAGCCGAGACACAGCTTAAGCAAGCAAGCTTGGAGCCTGCTTATTAAATTACAGAAGTGCAACTCAGACTTTGACGAAAACAGGTCCTATTCTGTGGTGGGAGATGAGACCCAGACTCTGAAAACCTGCAGTCTCGATCCTGAATGTTTTATCTGGGGCAGCCCTTGGTTGTTGACATTATTATAGCCAGTAACGGGCAAGAAATCTGGGGGGATGACACAACATAACAGCCATCCAGCTTCTATCCCCAAGGGCATTTCAGATCACCTATTGCCCAAAGCATTTCTCAGTGCAAAACAAGAATTTGGTGAAGAGGGAGTTGCCGAGATAAAAGTTTAAAATCCGAACAAATCTATGACGATGCCATCTAACTTGCAATTTGGATATCCAGCACTGCACAGGCAGCTCTTGTGAAATCCAGCAGCGTCCCACCCGCGAGGATCCCTGTGCTGATGCAGAAACGCAGGTACCTGTCGGAGGCACGCCAGACACCCACCACCTCCCCGCTGGGAGAGGCGGGCGGCGGGAGGAAGGCAACGGAGAACGGAGAAGTTAATACAGAGGGGGCCCTTTTCCTAATTGTTGCAGTTACGCCGCGAATCGAGGCCTAAGCAGAAGACGCGTCACATCGCGATTCTCTTCTCCGTTAACGGCAGGGACAGCGGCGAGCAGGGCTCCGTGCCGCCAGGCACAGGGCCT